ATATACCGTTATTTCCCATAAATCTATACTTTCTATGGCAGACCCAAAACTGTACATGGACGCCCGCCTCTCCCCCATCTCTCTAACTTATTATGGGTTTTGTCTGAGAAATGGAAACTACTCTGTAAACCTCCATTTTGCAGAGACAGAGTTTACAAATAACAAATCATATAAAAGCCTGGGAAGGCGTATATTTGATGTTTACATTCAAATGTTTATGAATTTCTACTAATAACATGTAAAATAGGTGGCAGTCAACACTGAAATGTTAAGTAACTACATTAGCATATTTCAAGGGATACAAATGTTTATGAATTTCTACTAATAACATGTAAACACTGAAAAAATAAACCACATTACGATCATGAAATGTTAAGTAACTACATTAGCATATAACATATTTGTTGCGTTCATCTTGATGGCCAAACACATGAGTTTTGTTGCAGTTCCCTTCTTGGAAACCGTTTGACCGGTTCTACCCCCAAAGAGCTTGGAGACATCACCACCCCGAAGCGTTTGTGAGTGTTGATTACGCATTTGTTTCTTCTTTCCCCCACTTGATTTTATGGAATGATCTTTTTTAATCAATGGAATTGAATTTTCTTTGTGTAGGGACATCAGTATGAATAATTTCTCTGGAGAGCTCCCTCGGGAGCTTGGGAATTTGACCCTCATAGAAAGCATGTAAGATTGTCCTATTTCAAATTTTATCCTGATAGACAGATGCTGGATATTTTCACCAGCAATCATCGACTTCTGTATCTTTAATATAATTGTTATGTCTCTTTCATGGTTAGGCTTCTTAACTCAAATAATTTTACTGGGGAGTTGCCAGATACATTTGGAAATCTTACCACACTAAAAGACTTGTAAGCTTGTGTTGTTCTTTTTTCTTAAAGGTTTCCTAAAAGCACCCAAATACCGCATTATAGTATTAATTGGTACTGTTTTCCTTTTGCCAATCATTATGCAGCCGGGTGGGTGACAGTCACTTTTCTGGGCAGATACCTGATTTTATAAAGAACTGGACAAATCTTGAGAAACTGTGAGTTTGTTTTTTTGATTATCTTTGCTGCTACTTGATTCTGAATATTATCACTGATTCAAATTTTATGACTTGTTAAACAGATTGATTCAGGCTAGTGGTTTGACGGGGCCAATTCCTCGTGGCATTTCTCTTTTGACAAATTTAACTGACTTGTTAGTATGGATTTTGATTTTGTATCTACTTATAAATACAAACAGATTACCAATTCTGTAATCTATGTTCATTGCTCGATTTTAACATGCAGGAGAATTACGGACTTGAGTGGGCCTGAAGCAACATTTCCCCCACTTGAGAAGATGAAAGACATGAAGACACTGTGAGTTAATGGTTCCATGACACACAATTTCTGTCTGTAGCAGAAGTCTTTTGCAAACTCAAAATTTTAGTGCTTCTGCTACAGGATGTTGAGGAGTTGCAATATTGTTGGACAGCTACCTCCATATCTCGGGGACCTGACGAAGTTGAAAATTTTGTTAGTACAAATGTCTTTGTCCCTGTGTTTTTTACTGTCTTCAGATAAATTATCTTCTTTCTAAATGCTATTCTAATAACTCAAGGATTATCGAATGACTTTGAGGATGTTGGAGTGGGCCGTATGTTTCTGCATACACAAAAGCAGATCCTGGCATAGATTTTACACTTACCTTATTCCTCTGGGTAGCATATCTGAAATGCATTTGTTATTGATTTGTGCAGAGACCTCAGCTTTAACAAGCTAAACGGGACAATTCCAAGCAACTTTGTTTCTCTAGCAAAAGTGGATTATATGTAAGCAATTTGAATAACAAATCTTGGCTTTCTTACAAGAAAACTCAATCAGACTTTCTTTGTCACACCCCAGCCCTACAAGCTGGACGTGTTAATCATGCTTACCATTCTGGCATTCTAGTAATTCATTGCTTTTGTTTATACCCCTTTCTAGTAATTTATGCCGTTTTTCCTGTACCGATTATGTTTAGATTCTTAACTGGTAACTTGCTGACTGGACCCGTGCCTACTTGGACGAAACAAAATGTGTAAGCTTCTCTTCCAAAGTCTAATATTTAAGATTTATGCTGTCTATTACTGGATAAAGCATAGTGCATTCGTTATGACATGACTTTTCATAATGGAGCTTGACATACAATTATACTCATGACTTTAAAAGTATCCTAAGTTTTATGATTCCTAAGCTTTTTCAAGGTTTCCCTCATATATCCAAAGCATTCTCTGCATATTTAGGTAGACCAGCCATGCTATATGGCACTTAGAAAACAACATGTTCATAAAATGAGTGTGGTAGAAATGATGGATGTGTCACGTGTGGGAAGACAAGGAAGGATAGGATTCGACATTGAAGGTAGTTCCAAGGGAAATTTTAAGGTGAACTTGGCTTAACTTGGACAGTTGTGAGAGCTTAGGGCTGTTAGAATTCAGACTATGATCTGAATCTTAACTTGCATTTTAGGCAATGGACATGAATGAGTAGAAGATTTCAGAGAGAATTTACAGAGTGAGAGAGAAAGAGAGCTTGAAGAAGGAGCAAAGATCAATCTTCTTCATTTCATCACGCACACACTGTGCACTAATACCAGCTGGAACAAGACATTCCTAAAACTGACATCATCCAATCTAACCATTCATTTTCTATTCTAAGATTACATCTCAGCAGTCCACTTGGACTGTAATCCAAGGGCTCACATCAAATCTGTAAATTTAAGCTAAATACAAACTTATATCAGCTAAGACACTTATATTTCAACACTCCCTTCTAAGTGTTTAGCTGAGATTACTCCAAGCTTTCTTCTCAGGTATTCAAACCAATCTCTTGCTAGAGCCTTAGTAAAAATGTCCGCAGTCTGCTCCTCAGTTTTGCAGTACAGTAAATCAATCTCTCCATTTTGCAATGCATCCCGGATGAAGTGAAATCTCCTGTTTATGTGCCTTGTCTTATGATGATGCACAGGGTTCTTGGTTATGGCAATAGCAGAGGTATTATCACATAGGATTGTAGTAGCACTT